TGCTGAGTATGACGCAGTGTTGGAAAGTTGTGTGGTTGTGCCATACAGGTGTAAAGGTACAGCAGCAGGTAAAGAGAGGAAAGGAAGACACAGATACAGGTTAAAAAAGAACAAAGAACTAAAAAGAAAAGATGATAGGGGTGTGAGGTGGTGATGAACAGGTCATCTCATCATCTAGAAAATGGATTTAGCAGCTGTTTAATCCTGACATGATCAAACCCAGTGAATCCTGATAAGAATAATAACTTAAATAAACATAACATAAATAAAAAAAAAACTAAACCCACTTCCGGGTTAGGTCACGCCCACTCCGAGTACAGATACAGATAATTTAGATGGTTGAACAGATACAGATAGTGGTGTACTCGCTCATCCCTATTAGATACCATTGTCTGTGGGAAAGGGGTATGTGGTACCAGCAGTGTGTCTGATTCTGCACAAAAATTTTGCAACACTAATAAGTAAACAATAGAATAAACAATACCATCACCAATACCATCTGCATAAACATTTTAATTTTGTTTGATATACGTTTTTATCATATCATGCATTCTTATTTAGCTCCCACCTTGAATTACCAATAATTGTTAATCAGATATACAGGTCCTTCTCAAAAAATTGCATATTGTGAAAAAGTTCATTATTGTCTGTAATGTAACATTAGACTTTCATATATATTATAGTCATTAAACTTTCATATATATTAGTCATTACACACAACTGAAGTAGTTTAAGCCTTTTATTGTTTCTAATATTGATATTTTGGCATACAGCTCATGAAAACCCAAAATTCCTATCTCAAAAAATTAGCATATTTCATCCGACCAATAAAAGAAAAGTGTTTTTATACAAAAAAAGTCAACCTTCAAATAATTATGTCAGTTATGCACTCAATACTTGGTCGAGAATCCTTTTGCAGAAATGACTGCTTCAATGTGGCGTGGCATGGAGTCAATCAGCCTGTGGCACTGCTGAGGTGTTATGGAGGCCCAGGATGCTTCGATAGCGGCCTTAAGCTCATCCAGAGTGTTGGGTCTTGCGTCTCTCAACTTTCTCTTCACTTTCTCTATGGGGTTCAGGTCAGCAGAGTTGGCAGGCCAATTGAGCACAGTAATACCATGGTGAGTAAACCATTTACCAGTGGTTTTGGCACTGTGAGCAGGTGCCAGGTCCTGCTGAAAAAATGAAATCTTCATCTCCATAAAGCTTTTCAGCAGATGGAAGCATGAAGTGCTCCAAAATCTCCTGAGTGCTAGCTGCATTGACTCTGCCCTTGATAAAACACAGTGGTCCAACACCAGCAGCTGACATGGCACCCCAGACCATCACTGACGCTGGGTACTTGACACTGGACTTCAGGCATTCTGGCATTTCCCTCTGCCCAGTCTTCCTCCAGACTCTGGCACCTTGATTTCCGAATGACATGCAAAATTTGCTTTCATCCGAAAAAAGTACTTTGGACCACTGAGCAACAGTCCAGTGCTGCTTCTCTGTAGCCCAGGTCAGGCGCTTCTGCCGCTGTTTCTGGTTCAGAAGTGGAATTGGTCCTTCTCCACAATCCTCCTCAGGGTCCGGTCACCTCTTCTCGTTGTGCAGCGTTTACTGCCACACTTTTTCCTTCCCACAGACGTCCCACTGAGGTGCCTTGATACAGCACTCTGGGAACAGCCTATTCATTCAGAAACTTCTTTCTGTGTCTTACCCTCTTGCTTGAGGGTGTCAATGATGGCCTTCTGGACAGCAGTCAGGTTGGCAGTCTTACGCATTATTGAGGTTTTGAGTAATGAACCAGGCTGGGAGTTTTTAAAAGCCTCAGGAATATTTTGCAGGTGTTTAGAGTTAATTAGTTGATTCAGATGATTAGGTTAGCTCATTTAGAGAACCTTTTCATGATATGCTAATTTTTTTAGAAAGGAATTTGGGGTTTTCATGAGCTGTATGCCAAAATCATCAATATTAGAAACAATAAAAGGCTTGAAACACTTCAGTTGTGTGTAATGAATCTAATATATATGAAAGTCTAATGTTTGTCAGTACATTAAAGACAATAATGAACTTTATCACAATATGCTAATTTTTTTAGAAGGTTCTGTACTTATTAAAACAAAATTTCTTCAATAGTGCATGTGACATTTTGCTTACAGTAAAGTCATTGGTTGGACCTGTAATCTCTGGTTTGATTATAATAATTACAGCAACTTTTATAAAATTGCTTGAATACAACTGCTGTAGGCAAGGGCGTCAGTTTATTTTGAGAATTGCTGGGGACAATAACCATACACTTGAGTGGGGCTTAAAAATTGCTGGGGACAATAAAGTAGGCTAGCACAGCGGTCGGCAACCCGCGGCTCTTCCATCCATCTGATGCGGCTCTCTGTACTTTTAAAATAATGAATGGATATTTAAATAAAATGCTTTATATTTTACTGCATTAATTTTACATCTGTATGCCAATTCTAAATGTAAAGATTGTCTGTAAACCTGAACAGGTCCAACCCGGTCGTACTGTGAGACCGGGTTGACGCGTCACGCTTGTGCGTAATCATGCGCTTCTGAGCTGCTTTCTGACCTTCCCCACCTACAAAGTTTAATTACAACAATCAAACGTGACAGAGCCTGGATTTGTATTCTGAACAGTCTAAACACGTTTTAAAAAGAAACGTATGACAAAAGTGGCACCTGCTCAGTAAAACCACCAACAGGGTGAAAAATACCAAAAATTGAAGGCAGAGACGGGCTACAACTTCTGGATCCACTTTATTTAATCGTTTTATTGATTATCTTCTTACGAAAGATAACTTTGACGTACACGAGCGACCAAGCGCGTTGCAAGCTTTTCAATAGTGTGGGGGATGTTGTCTGTGCCTAAAATAAGTTCATGTTATTCATCTTGTTAGTTTAATTTCCATAAGAGCGGAGCAGGTACGAATTTTAGACGCGTCACGCACGTCTCCGTTTTAAACATGTTTAAACTGTTCAGAATACAAATCCAGGCTCTGTCTCGTTATATTGGTACAACTAAAGTTTGTACTGAATGAAACTTTACATTAAACCATGTTGAAAAGAAAAGGATCCGATTAAATCGTTTCCCCTCACTTACAGTCAGTACAGCGCAGTGTGCGTGGCTCTGGGGTTAATCAGGTTTAATTGTTTCTCTTTGCAACAATCTTCACAAGAAGGCAAAACAGTTAAATGACAGGTTACAGATATTTCCATTTGACTGTTTATTTTGACGGATAAACTCAAGGATGTTGGTTGATTTCCTCCCACTGAAGCGGTCTGGAAACCCGGTCTCTCTGAGGGATGTGTCACTTGGAAAAAATTTATTTTTATGAAATTATTAAACTTTGGCTGAACAGCGCTTGTTCCCGTCTCTAATATGGAGACGCATGACGCATCCAGTCTGAGGCAGAATCGCCTCTTCAGCTCAGAAAGCACCTGTAGAGACATTTGATCACGCACAAAGTTTATGTGGAGCAGAAGCGGTCGGGCCACGGCAGGTGAAATGTTCCTAGCCTACATGAAGTGAAACTGTTTAATTGTAACATTAATATGTTACTGGACACGCTGGTCTGGTTGGTTAGACCAGTGTTTGATGTGGAAAACACACACACACACACACACACACCAATTAACATAATGCTGATAGCGTGGACTAGAAGACAGGTGATGGTTTACGTATTTAAATGATGATCAGGCTGCTGTAAAATGTAATCTCCATCCACATCCAGACACAATTATCCTCTATTCTTTCTCTAGTTGCTCTGCTCTTGTCTGGGCTGACAGCTGACAGTGCGCGCGGTGCGCCTAGTGACTGTGATGCACATTTTACGCATTTGGAGAGGTGGGCTGGATGCTGGAAGATGGTCCACTTAACGCACGGGTGTATACTACATATTAATGACAAATGAATGAAAATTAAATTGTGAGTTTTTACTTCATATTTTAGAAATAAAAATGACGGGGGAACACATTTATGACGTGTTTTTAAACGAGATTTTCTAGCGCGACCTGCCTGCTTCACTTAAGTCTCTGCTTATTAAGGTCCGTCCAGAATTACCGTGGCCCACCCAAAAATGAAAACCTGGCGCTGTGCCTGTTATAAACCTCTGCAAATTATTGTTCTTCACTTGATCAAACTCAGACTTTGTACAGCTAATGTCAAGATGTAAAATTATGAATTCAGTCGAGCTCTTCCGTCCCTCTCTCTCCTGCTCTCCTTGAACCCGACATCGGCTGTCAGAATAGGGGAGGTGAAGAAGGAGATGAGGCAAACAGAGTGAGTGCGACCTAAAAAAACCAGACTGGTGTGGAGGTGAGCAAAACAGCTGGAAAGGTGTGGGTGTTGAATCCCCCACGGGTGCGACGCCCATGGTACCGGCTGCTGTCACCTGTTGTGAGCAGCTCTCTGCTGTCTGAAGGTAGGCCCCGCCCACAACGCTGCGCTGCTGTGGCTCCCAGTGTTTTCATTACTGTGGGAAATGGGTAATAATGGCTCTTTGATGGGAACAGGTTGCCGACCCCCGGTATAAGATCTGAGCTGGTAAAACAAAAATCCTCATCAGCAGGCTTTTTTGAAAGTGGGGGGGGGGGACACAGCTGCCAATCACAAATTTTGCCGGGGACATGTCCCCGGCGTCCCCGGTTAAAATGACGCCTATGGCTGTAGGCAATCGATATTTTGCATTGAGAAGATAAATTGAAATAAAATGTTATTAGGATGTTCTGGAAAATTGCAATAATGTCAGTTACAAACACAAGAGAAAGGAAACATAATGCTAGTAAATAGCATATATGAGGGGAATGTGCGACATTAAAATGTATACATCCTGTCTAAATGATAGTTATTCATCGTAGTAGTCTGAGAAGCTGAGCATTTCAAAATGTGTCGTTTCTATTTCACTAGGTCTCATCATCACAGCTTCTCAGTTGTTTCAAACCCAGAGGTGAAAATGACTATTTTTCTGAATGAAACCAGTGCTCAATGTTGCTGTTAATTTTCTCCTAGGTACATAGCTATTGTTCATCCGAGTTCTGAGAAGAGGACCGTACAATGGACCATCATCATCAATCTGCTGGTGTGGATGGGCAGCTTCCTCCTCACCGTACCAGTCATGATTTATGCCAAGGTTGTCCGCAGGCAACACCTGGAGGTCTGCATGATGTACCTAGACGGGCCTGAGGACATGTACTGGTACACTCTCTACCAGTCCGTCCTGGGCTTCATCATCCCCCTCATCATCATCAGCACCTTCTACTCACTCACCCTCTACCATGTCTTCAGCTCTATTCGACAGGTAAAACGGAAGCAGTCCATGTGGGCGAAAAGAGCCACTAAGATGGTCCTAATGGTGATCGCCGTGTTCGTGATCTGCTGGTCACCCTACCACATCATTCAGGTGATCAACCTGGGCAACAACAAGCCGACAATTGCTTTTGTATATGTCTACAACATCAGCATCTGCCTCAGCTACTCACACAGCTGCATCAACCCGCTCATGTTACTCATCTTTGCCCACAATTATCTTGAGCGTCTGTGCCGCCGTAACACGCAGGACAGCTCTCAGCATTCGTCAAAGGCCACGGTAGTCAGAAAAGATGGCTCCAGTATGACAAACGATCCCAACTGCCGCATAACTGCCATCTAATCAGAGAGAGAACATTTTTGTAAATAGAAGACAGATGTAAAAGTTTTGCTTTTGCACGGTGTTACTTGTAAGGTCATGTTCTGCAGCTCTTTCATTTATGTGAACCTGACATTGCACAAATATTCACCTCACACAGGAGCTTCAAACCAGCAGCTTTTTGAATAATACCATATATTGTCATAATGGTCAGTGACAGCTTTGTAGTGCAGATGTGTCATTGCTTATCGTGGTTTCTTATGTCTGAGCACATGTGATCTGTAATCAACTAAAAAAACTCCATATAGGGATTTGTGATTTCTAACCACTAGCGTAAGTAAAGGATACATTTCTGATATAAAAAAAAACAGCGCTATGAAAAACAGTTTGCTACCTTTTTTTTTTTTCATTTTTGTATTGTTACCACACTTTATTTCAGATTGGCTAGCAAATTTTAGTATGAGACTACAGTCATTCTCCTGACTCGGCTGTACTCTTTTTGCTTTAGCTTAGCATAAAACACAGTAAGTGAACTAGCATAGTGAGAAAAAACATCCTAAAAAAATTCTCAGTAGTGACCCCAATACTGCTTTGTGACCTAAATAATCTTACTGATTGCAAGTTGCAGGTGCCATTTTGCAACTACTTTTGGACAAAGTACAGCTGTAAGCCTCTGCTGAAAGGTGCAAGGCAGCCCCAAAGACACCTGCTTCAGTAAACACTAAGTTTTGCTGATTTGCCACCGCATCTATACAAAATCTAATATCCAATATGCAATCCAGAAGAGGGTGAATTGAAGTTGTTCTGTGTCTCATGGGTAAATAAATGGCAAATTAATGGCAAACAAGCCAATCAGACTGGTAAATACTCCAATATGGCTGAATAAAATGATTACGTAAACAAGTGGGACAAAGTTCCTTCACAGTGATAATTTTGGTGTGTTACTAATAATTGTTGCAACCAGTTTGTACTTTTTCATAGGTTGGTTTGGGTATGTTCATTCACTTTAAAGGTGCTAGTTTATTAATCAGTTAATTTGTAGTGGTCTTAAGTAGGAAAAATTTGCCTTGTAAGTGTTTCTAGGGGGAAACAGTATAGACAATTGTACTATATTATTTGCCAAATTGTGGCAAGCAATTTGTGGAGGTTGCATCTTGCGATGCAGCCATTGCTGCGATGGCACACATCAGTGATTCATTCATTGTGCTGATTGTAAACAACCTCCCTCAGTGACATAATGATGAATATCTGGATTATTGATGTTAAGACAGTGGCCTCCAGTAACAGATGAAAGGTATATTAAATAAATACCAACATTGATTCATGAAGTCATCCAGGGCCACACCTGGCCAAAATGGGAGCCCTAAGCAGAATTTTATTTAGCCACACCACTGTTTGAGGAGAATTGTGGTGAGAGAAGAATAGCCAACATCTGGAGCTTGATTTGGACAGAAAAGCCTAAAGTTCTCAGGGACAGCTCTGCACACCAATGTCTCAACACAACATGGACTACAGATCTCAGTTCAGTTTAAACAGACTAGTCTTATAGTGTTTCATTGTTTATATCTTTTCGACCTGCGATGTTTGGAGATATGGTTCATTGATAATTCGTCATTTGTGAATTGCTACAGTTCGTAGCCAAGTGGGAAGCAGCTGGGATGAGAATCAGCTCCTCTAAATCCGAAACCACTGTCTTAAGTCAAAAAAGGGTAGAATGCCTTCTCCGGGTAAGGCATGAGGTCCTACCCCAGGTGAAAGAATTTAACTCATTCACTGCCATTGATGACTGAAGTCGTCATTTGCATTTTTTTTACTGTGTGGGCATCGGAACGAGCCCCCGCACCATGAGAACAAACATCTCAGCTCTAAAGCTTTTCTTCATCCGCATACGTCACACATCTTGTGATCAGGAAGCAGAAAATCCATGTGTTAGGAGATTGTTTAGGGCCGCTGCTGTAAAAAAAAGTGAGGCGTGAACCGGAAACAACAGATCATAAAAGAACGGATAAAGCTCGAAATGCGTGGATTCTTCCTGATGTAAGAGGTGAGTCTCCGCTTTGTTTTGGTTGTTGTGGCGTCGACATCATCCTAGCACGCAACGTTAGGTGACTCTTAAAAAACACTAAAAATGGTGAGAAACGCTGGCAGCGAAGGGCTTTACTGATCAGGAAGCGGCTGGCAGCGAATTAGTTAAGTATCTCATGGCCTTGTTCATGCATCAGGGAAAAATGGGGCATGAGATCAATCGGTGGATTAGTGCTGCGTCTGCAGTGTTGCGGGCATTGCACTGGTATGTCTTGGTGAAAAGAGCGATGATCTGGAAGGTAAAGCTCTTGATTTACTGGCCGATCAATGTTCCCTACCATCACCTATGGTCACAAGCTTTGGGTAGTGACCGAAAGATTGAGATCGCGGATACAAGCGGCCGAAATGAGTTTTCTCCACAGTGTGACTGGGCTCTCCCTTAGAGGTAAGGTGAGATGCTCAGTCACCAAGGAGGGACTCAGAGTAGATCTGCTCCTCTACAATAAAAGGAGCCAGTTGGGGTGGCTCAGGCATCTGATTAGGATGCCTCCGGGATGCCTCCATAGTGAGGTTTTTTGGGCATGTCCAACCAGGAAGACGCAGGACACGCTGGAGGGACTGTCTTTGTGGGCCAGGGAATGCCTTGGTATTCCCCTGGAGCTGGCCCAAGTGGCTGGTGAGAGGGAAGTCTGGGCCTCTCGGCTTAGGCTGCTGCCCCATGACCCAACTGAATAAGCAGAAGAAAATGGATGGATGAATTGCTGAAGCAGGTGTGACAAATTTCCTTGTGTGTGTTTTTCTGATTAGGATGGAACATTATTTCTAAATTATGAAGAAGACAGAGAAAAATGTCATTACAAAATGTGCTTGTATGTCATTAGTATGTCACTTGCATAATATTTTTGGGCAAAAAATGTAAAAGAATACTAATTTTACTTTTCAATTCAAAAGGTCTAAATAAGTTTCAAGAAATTAGGGAATAACTGATAATGATGTGCATTTTCATTAAGTGGCTCTGTAAAACCAAAACAGGAGACCAAGTTGTTTTTGTAGCATAGGAGAAGGCCATGTAATGCAAAGGTTATGACATTTGTCAACAACCTGCCCTACCAGGGGCAGAGGTCATCAGACATTAAGTGTCCAGCCGGTTTCATATGCCTGGAATAGTAACAAAACAGTCCCATTTTGTTTCGCTCCTACCCTGGTCATCTGGATATGCCGTCATAACAATCTCTCCCTGCTTCAGTATCTGCACTCACAAGGTCCCTCCAGGAGATGAGACATAACTCTAATAAAATATTCTTATATTTGTGCCATTAAATTATTTATTTCACCTACAGGTTGATTGCAACCATATTCTGTTTTATCTACAATGAATGTTTTAGCTAAAGTGATTTACTAATGTCTTGACTGCTTTACAGTAATGAATGAATCAGCATAAATGTTTTTCATTTCATTTCAAGACTTTATTAAACAGGAAAAGATTAAAAACAATCTGTCCTGACTCCGTTTAAAACAGTTTTTCAGCAGGTTCCGCAGAGCATCAAACAAAGTGATCAACATCTGCCATCTAAAAAAAAAAAGGCAGCAAGAAAATTGTACCGCCACGTGCAGTGTTTACAGGTAAAACTGTCCAACAGAGGAGAGAAGGATTTTCTTTTGAATCGAGGTAATGTTGGCGCTATCCTTGTCATGTGGAGTTACATTCCAAACTTTAGTCAGCGTATAAAAGAACAACCTCTGGCCGTAAGAATTCCTAAAGGCAGGTAAAGGCAAAGCATACTAGAGGCGAACTTAGTAACTCACACAAAATTTAAACTGTGCTTGGGAATCATTGCCTTTAGGTCTGAATGTATTTTTTTCTTGAAATGTCTTATTTCATATCTTAAATACACCAAACAACTACTTGATGATTTAATAATGATTTATTATCAGTCAAATTTAATATCAGTATCAATAAATGACCTTTTAACATATTCCCTTCACCTAATAAGATTTTCTAAGTGTCTGAGAAACGGAAGGTCTGCGGACTTTTTGAAAAGGCCTATAAAAATTTCTCAAACCTGGTTGGTCCAAAACTTATAAACGACCAATCCTTAAGAGGAAACACTTTCTCTATTCGGCAGTTCAGCAAGGTGTCCATCCTTCATGCTAAATTATCCTCTTGTTGGGAGATCAAACAAGACCGTTTCACCAGAATATAATTTTAGCAGCATAAAGAACCCTCCTTTTTCAGAATCAACCAATTATTTGTTTAATCTGCTAAATAACTCACCAGACGTGAAACAGTCCACCAGAAGCTCCACAGGAAGTATCTCTTCAACCAGTGGTGCGTATTCTGAGGGCCTATGACCCTTGGATACATCAGAAGCCCACTCACTTGCATTGCTGAGATGGCTTTGCTTGCCAACCCTATCCCTGAGAACTTCCTCTACACTGGTACGTAGGCTCTGCACTGGCATTGGATGGGTTAAGATTAACTTGATAACCAATTAAATCCAAATAAAATTCAACCAGCTGTATTTTATAAACCCAGTCACCACCTTTTTCTGAGTCACTTTATTGAGCTCTTATTAACATATAAGGTCATATATCATCAGAGTTCATTCATTGTTTCAGTTGATCTTACCTTGACTCACCATTTATAATCATTTGTCCTGCATCATCATTAGTAGTAGAAATATAGTAATAAATCGATTTTTATAAACTATATTTTTGCAGCCAAGTGCTAATTTAGCTGACATAACCAAGTGCTAATTTAGCTGATGCTTAATTAGCACTTGGTTATTTGCTAACTGCCATCAATAAACAACAGAATAAATACCCTGATGGCATCCATATAGTGGCTGGAGATTTTAACCATGCTAATCTTAAGACTATGTTACCAAGATTTGACCAACATGTTAAATGCCCAACAAGAGGAGGTAACATACTAGACTGTGTTTACTCAAATATTCCCAAAGAGTATAGAGCATACCCTCTCCCACATCTCGGCCAATCTGATCATCTGTCACTACTGCTAACCCCGGTGTACAAATCCATCACTAAAAATCACAGCCAGTTACTAAAACTGTTGTGACATGGCCTGAAGACTCATCTCTGCAGCTACAGGACTGTTTTCATCGTACAAACTGAGATGTCGTTTGTGATCCAGATGTGGAAATTTACACCTTAGCTGTCCTCGGCTACATCAAGACCTGCATTGAAAATATTACAATCACCAGGAGCATCAGGGTTTTCCCAAACAGGAAACCCTGGATGATGAAAGAGGTTCAGGTTCTCCTGAAAGAACGCAATACAGCTTTCAGATCAGGCAACCAAATGAGGTACAGCACTGCCAGACAATTTCAATAGGTCCTACACTGTAAAATCTGTTGACAAAAAAATCATGCATGCAGGCCAATACTTAGCTCCTCTACATACTACAACCTGAAGTTTTAGGAAAACGTACTTCTGATTTTTTATTCATTTTTAAATTTTTCTAATTTCAATAACTCTTACACTCAGGGCCGTTTCTAGCATTGTGGGGGCCCTCTGCGAGATAATGTTCTGGGCCCCCCTATTTTGACAAACTGAAATTGATGATCTATAAACACACCATGAATTGTCACAAATAGCAAGCAAAACATGGTACAGTTTTAAAATTAAACACTCACTCAGGAAATATAACTAACTAATAAAAGCTAGAAAGCAGAGTGCAGACCTCCACCCTGGGAGGGGTGTTCACATCACACTTTTTTTAGCTGTTGTGGAATTCTGCAGAGCAGTTCTTGTCCTGCTGCAGACTAAACTATTTCTTGCACTCTTTGCCAACACATTCTCACACCCAAGGCGTCAAAATATGACGCGTGTGCCCAAGCCTCAATATATGACGATTCGGGACACCCCAGCGCGTCAGGAGACGACGATCAGGGACAGACTGCTAACGCCGGTGGTGAGACGGACATTAGAACTACTTAACCATCCCCTCACCCCAATCCTAACCTTAAGGTCACGGTTTATGGACCTTAAGGTTAGGATTGGGGTGAGGGGACGGTTTAATAGTCAAATAATGTACGTGTGACCACGCGCGTCGTCAAACAGTGACGCCAGCGGAGCCAAGTGATCCAGCATGTCCCTGATCGTTGTCCCCTGACGCGCTGGGGCTTCCCGAATTGTCATTGAGGCTTGGTCACACGCGTCATATTTTGATGCCTTGGGTGTGAGAATGTGTTGTCTTTGCACATCCAGGGAGGTTTTTTTTTTTTTTCACAGAGTGGACCCGTTTCACCCCTGACTTGCCCTCTGTGCTTCGTCCATTCCTTCTCCACTGGTCCAGGGGACAGTGATGTGACCTTGAGCAGAGATCACTGGAGGGTTTTCAACCTGTGCAGACTGCTGCTCCTGAAATTGTTGATGTTTCATTGCCTCCTTCAGCTACTTGTTGCTGATTTGTTTGTGGAGCTGGTGGCGAGAGGCAGTTGATAGCCAGGGAATCTTCTGGGGATAAATTGGGTGTCGTGGGTCGGCGGCTCCTGGATCTGACTTTGTTGTCCAGGAGTCCAGAAGATGTGGAGCATCTCCAGCAGCATCCTGTCTCTGAAATTGCCTGTTGCTGGTGATGGCACTTCATCAGAAGAATCTCTAAAATTATAAATACATCAGATTTTATAAAAAGATACTCAAGTGGTAAATAGTAGAAATTAAAACTGTAAAAATTAAAAATACATAAGAAAAGCTTGAAATAATGTTTGAACTGTAGATTAACTTACTGCAGCTGTGATGGCAAATCATCTTCATCCACACCTGAATCCTCAACCACAGATGTACATGGAGGTTTTGTTTTCCTTGAAGTAGCAGTAATAGTGTTGCCAGTCCCCACATGCCAAAGACGGTGGCAAGCTGAAACACACTGAACTGGCTTGTGCGAGCAAAATCAGCCAGACGACAGGAGCTGGGCTGCAGGTCAAAAAACTGTGGTCAGAAACAAGGGTCACAGGAGGGTCAAGAGGACAAGAGTTCAGAACTTGCTGTCGGGGACAGAACTAGGCAAAAGGTCAGGCTGGCTGGCCCCACCCCTGGATCCACCCCTGGCTTGGAAAGATGGGATTGGAGGACAACAGAGTGAAGACAAGCCCATCAGATCCAGAAGCCCTCTCAGGAACATTGGAGGGAAACTGAAGAATACTGCAAAAGATGTAATGACCTGTGTTAAGAAGAATGCTGCATGTAACAATTTGTGCCCTCATGTGAATGCTGCATGTGGTGAAAATGATACCAAATGTCTTGTGTTGAGTTACAAAGTGTGTATCTGGTAAATGACCCCATGACCTCACCGTCATGAGGTAATGATACATGTGACTTTTTACCTTGTCTAAGCTGGCCCAGGGAGGGTATATAAAGAGCAGCTCTGCGAAAGATTGAGAGATTCGACAAGCAGCTGGGGCAGACGACAAGAGACAGAGCAGATTTGGATGGGTCATCCCCCGTCCTGCTGGATGGGGGATGACAGGCAGTTTTTTGGAGTGGAGCTGGGAGTAGTTTGGGGAATTCGGGAAGAGATTCCACAGGAGTTTTTTGGGGCGATTCTCAGAAGACCGAGCTGGTGTAAACCAACTCTTATTTAATCATTTTGAACTAATCCCTCCTTGGGGGATAGCGGTTGTTTTTTTATATTTACCCATTTTTGTATTCTTTGATTTTGTAATAAACTTTTTGGAAAAAGAAACATAATCCTGATTCTTTCAGGTTTTCTCTAAAGATTCACGAGTGAGAGCCCTGACCATTAATTGCACAGAGGTAAGCACATTAATTATGGGTTCTTGAATTATCAGGACTTAGTTTACGGTTTGTGACGAATTAATATAAAGAAACCTTAAGATAAGGGGAGCTTGACTCCTCCCTCACCCGCGAGTGACTAGTTGTCTTAAGGATGATAAAACCAGAACATTAGTGGTTAATTTTGGCTCTGATTCGCAAGTTGAAAAAGTCTCTATCAGCTGGAGGGTTGGATTAATTAAATAAATTGATAAATTTATGTTAGCCTGATCAACTAACAAAAATCATTTATAGTTACCAACCACCCACATAAGCTGTTAGAGGCGCAATTAATCCAAATAACCCAAATAATTGCTGGAAGGATTGGCCTTTCTCCAGGCTTCGCCCTAGTATCTTCACCAAAAGATAACGGGATTGATTAAAAGGAAGTGAGCTACTGCAGAAGGAAAATTCTTGCATATTATTTCACCTTTAAAATAAAAGATATGATTCTAACTTAGGACGCCCAAACCAGGGTCTAATACGATAAAACTCACCGAAATCCCCACCGAACCCTGGAAGATGCACAGTCTCATAAGTTCTGACGGAACTGGGTTTTAACGGAACCGGCAAATGGGACGTGCACGCGACAATAGTTTAATTGTATAGTAATAGTATTAGCAATACTAGACAAAAGAAACTGGAACGGGTTTAGTGCAGAGATACTTACTGCATTTGGGATGGAAAACCAATGTGGGCACATTTTGCTCCTCATCAACAACTTTTGAGGGAAGTTTCCTCTTTCTAGAAGGTTTCCTGGTTTCTGGTTTATTTACAAAAACAAATCTAACATATAAAATAATAAAAAGCCTCAGTGAAAAATGCAGCTGAAAAAAAAAGACAAAACCACGGGTGACCGAACGAATACAAAAAAACGGCAAAGTGATGTCAATTATGACTAAATATAATAAAGGAAATTTACTGAAAATAATTATTTACACCAGTAGAAGAGATAGAAGTTGAAAATAAGTGTCCAAAACAATTCCTCCTCTCCTCTAAGCATGGCACATGGTAGACTGTTTATTTCCTGGTTCTAGGGCAGGGACTTGCGTAACATTACCGTAATGTATTGTATACCATGTCATGTTTGGGGGAAGGAGACTAACCCAAGACATGCAGAACACACAGACCAAGGATGGGGGTAAAAAATTAAATAGTTTATTTACAAAGAAGGAAAACTGAGGATGCACTGAACTGTCAGTGGCTGGAACTGATACGGGAGCTCTGCGTCTGGAGGAGGGAGAACACTGGTGAGCATGTGTTTAGTTCCAGAGGTCCCTTTTGTCACGAGCTTAGTTCAATAGATCTTACTGTACGATGAGAGTTGCTGGCTGGAGGAGGGAGCAGGTTGAGAGCCGGGGGGAGCGCAGGAGAGGGAGCACAGGTGGAGATAAGCAGGGCGTCCTGGTGGATGGGAGACAATGGAGAACGGTGAGTGGGTCCAGTCGGGTCTGAGTATCCAAATCCTGGAGTCCAGAGGTAAATATCCTAGAGCTCAGTGGCCAGAGGGAAACACTGGAATCCTGGAGGTGAGAGAAATCCTGAGTCAGCTCCAGGAGGTAAGTAAAATCCAAAAATCTAAAACCTAGAGCAAAAACACAACTAGCTAAATTTATCCTAGAGCTCCTAGAGTAAACACGAGTGGCTTGGTACTACCAAGCTGAGGCAATCTTCCAGCGTTGAATTGTGCCCTCCATCCACCTTAAGTAGGAACCACCCCGCTAATTGCTGATCAGGAACAGCTGGGCACTCCCTCTCCTGGCAAGAGACTCAAAGATGTTAAGGTGAATGAGGAGTACTCACCCCGGCTTATGACAACCACTGGAAAGTACATCCTCTCAGCTTTCAGAATCTGTTGATTGCGCAAACTGTTGAAGAGTTACGGTAAAGAATGAAAGCCAGTTTGTGCTGCTATTGACACAACCACAGCAGCTTTGGGGGCCCCTAGTGGCTTGGGGACCCTATACAACAGCATAGGTTGCCTGCTCTGTCTTCTCGATCCCCAGTGTGTCGTGGAGGATGGCTGCTTGTACTGAGCCAGGATTCTCTGGAGGTTTCTTCCTGTTAAAAGGGAGTTTTCCTCTCCACTGTCACTTTATGCTTGCTTAGTATGAGGATTGCTGTATAGTCACTGACACTAGTCAGTGACTTGATGCAATTTGCTGGGTTCCTTATATAGGAAACATTATTTCTGATTGGCTTAATGAACTGTCCTGAATTGGAATGTTTATTATGTGAAGTGCCTTGAAACGTTTCTTGTCGTGATTTGGCGCTATATAAATAAACTTGAATTGAATTGAATAGGTTGCACATAGGAAGAAACGGCCATGCTTACACTGTAAACTCTGTTGACAAAATCATGCATGCAGGTCAATACTTAGATGATCTACATACTACAAACTTTACTTTTGTGGGAAAAGACTTATGATTTTTTAAAACTTTCTAATTTCAGTAGGTCCACACTGTAAGTATTTGAGATAAATTAGCAGGCTAAATACATTTCATATATTTCTAAAACGTAATACCTGTTTGTATCTTGTACAGCCAAGTAGCCTTTATTCTGGACTCAGTACAATTCACCAAAAGTAAAGAGACATTATACAGATGAAGTAAGCACAAGATAACTTACTGGAAGAAACATAATTATCATGAGAACCAGAACAAGAGAGCCTGATAACAGTCATGTGAAAATAACAGTTAAAAAGTATGCATGTATAATAGAAATAAAAATATATTAGAATTAGTGTAACTCACTGTGATCCAAACAATAAATCAGCCATAGCTGATTAGCAATCATGAAATGAGGTCTGGGAGTTTTTAAGTTTCATTCTTTTATTACATTTTTTTCTTAGATCTGTTAAAAGGTCACCATGGCAGCCTGTGTCTCCAACATCAGCTACGCAACGCATCAAGTGGACTGAGATGGAAAGACCTCCTCTTCTTTTTCAACTCCATGCATGGAAGAGCAGCTCCTGATCTGCAGTGTGAATCTGGTGAACATGAAGGAGGACCTGCACCGGCTTCACCTTCTACACCCTCATATCACACTGTTGAGAACTGTTCTTCCTTCTCAACCCAATGTTCCACTCACTCTGCAGCTCTCTGGGCCCCTTTTATTATTTAAATTTATTTTTAAATGTCCCGACACTTTGTGTCCTGTTATTTTATAAAATGTGACGTAAAAAAATAAATGTTTTTGCTCAATTACTGGAATTTCTTTGGTTAAGACAAAAAAGGAAGAATCATTTATGCCAAGTTGTTTCTACAACAGGCCTGTTTTAAGTCCAACAGTTTCTTAGCAGCCAATAGAAATGTGTTCTTTACTAACTTTACTTGGTTTAAAAATCTTACTAAAATAAACAGAGTGCCGTATCGCTAAACCCAATCATACTTGTTATGTAAATATTAGCTTTGTAGATATTTTTAACAGATATTTGTGTGCTAAAAAAACCATAAACTTAAATAATTCGTCATTCTTTATTGAAAAACAATAAAATCCCGGTATACAGAAAGTGTGGGGAAATTGATAATGTGAAAGAATTGCTCTTTAAATGTAATACTATTTATCTTTAAAAAGAAAAATTCCTGTACAGCAACATGACAGAAGAAAGGTGGTCTGTCTGTCAGAATGTGCTGAACAGATTTGCTCTATCAAGAGGAGCGTTTTGTGTAAGAGTTTATGTTATTGTAATGTTGGTTTGGGTTATGTATCTGTGACACGATCCAAGTGGAATGGAAGGTGCCACTAATATTAAAAAGATTAAAATAGGTTCTAAAAAAAACAAGGCAAGCAGTGCAACAGCCAAAGCAAATAAAAAAGGCACATTACAAAACCCTGATGATGACCCCAAGGGAAAAAAAGCGTTCAATCGAGTGTGCGCAGGGCCCCAAGGGACAAGGCGGTCCAGTCTGGCCCTGCTGAGCTCTCGACTAAGGAATCTCCAAGGCCGGCGTTGTCGTCTGGGAACCACAGGATCGCCGCACGGTGGATCCAATCTGCCTCCTCCTCGGCCCGGCCCCTGTGGCACACAACAACTCCGGCAGTAAATAGGTCTCCGGCACCAGACCACTCACAGAGAGAGAGCAACTAACACTGCCAGGCACTGATCAATTACTTACGCGCGGGGGCAGAGTAACTCTGCCCGCCTGCCGTGCGCTGGCGGGCAGCTGGCATCTCCGGCGCTGGCGTCTCCAGCCGCAGATCTCTCTCTCCGCTGTTGCTGCTGCTTCTCCTGCCGCTGCTGCTGCTGTCCGTGCCGCCGGTGGATCTCCTTCCAGTTCTTGCGGAGCTCGCGGTGTGTCTGGCTCCAGCCAAGTATTTTCCTTTCCCCTCACATTTCCACATCTCCATGTCCGCTCCCTTAAATAAACAAAACCCTCCGCCCGTTCACCTCCCGCCCTGTAGGGATGGGTATCGATTAGGTTTTATCCGATACCGGTGCCAAACCGGTACTTTTGAAATGGTACCGGTGCTGAAACGGTGCCGGAACCGGTGCTTAAAGAATGTAAAATACACAAGTTTTCCAAAAACCTCTTATTTTATTTTTTGATATTTTTTTGCAAAAATATCACCATGTTAGCTTTTTCTGGCAATATTCGGCATCGCTCTTGGCTGATGGCATGCCCAGCGCAAGAGAAAACACGTTCAGAAGGTGTTGATGAGGCTGGGACACACAAGTATGTATTGGATAGGGCAGATAAGTTGGGCAGTGTATCCCTCTTACTCCACCACCAGGCCACAGGGTCTTGTCCAGAGGGAATTCTTGGCAGTCTTTTGTATATGTCAAGTTCCTTTTGTACCTGCTCCGTGATGGAAGGGACTCTACCCGCTGTATGAGAGGCTGCATCCTCCTTAAGTTGTCTGTCCTCATCCTCAAACAGCTTTTCTAAGGCTGACTTTTGGACCGTTCTTGGCTGGAAAACAAAAATAAGTAGTGTGAGATTGTCAAAACAACAAAGATCCCTTTTAGAATGTAGGACTACATGGTTGGGTTAGAAAAACTCAGAAATTACATATTTTTCTGTCTTCATCTCGGCGTCATCCATCACCCTGTCTGCTTGAGGGTCCTCTATGGGAGGCTATGGACACACAAATAAAAAAAACATTCCTTCAACATGGAAACTACATCATGCAGAAGGACAATGTTGTGCAGAAAATACCTGATCAACTGCTGCTGTGGCATTTGCGACTGCTGCCATCTCCAACCTGTCCCAGATGTCAGCTGCCTCACCTTCATCTAGCTTGCCTTTAAAACGTGGGTCCATCAGAGTGGCCTCCTTCAGAAATTTCTGAAGGTTTTCATCCTTTAAAGAAAGTATATAATATAGAAGCTGATACCTAAATGCAATGCTACCCCTATATTTGTTAGTATTCATATGTTCTGCAGATACCTGATATCTGTTCTGCAGACTACCCCAGACTTTCTCTTTCATTGATGAGGTGAAAACGGTGTCTTCATCGGATTGCCTGAAATGTGCCTCCAGCTTCATCAGGATGGGGATGATTTGGCTGCATGTGGGCGACTTCTCACTTGACACACACATGGTTGATGTGTACAGGACTTGCATGCACTTAATAAACATCTCTGCTTTCGTTAGATCAGTGCACGTGAAGCCTTCTAGCCTGTGGAAAATTATTAACAATGTTTAAGGTAAATGACTAAATGAAACAATTTAGCACTTACAAGTGATGCTGGTGTCATTAACTCACTTGTCCTTCTCCATTGGCTTCCTCAGACGTTGATCCAGAACAGCGGCCTGGATTGCATCAAACTGCTCAATAACTCTCTCCACCATCAGGAAGAGAGAGTTCCAGCGCGTTTTAACGTCAAGAATGACATTATGCTCTGGCAAATCTAAAGCACAGACAGACACAAATGTATTTTGAATTACTGTAAAAAAGGTAATATGATTAACAATACATTTACATGTGTAACTGCATATGCTACTTACTCAGGAGTCGCTGCTTTTCTCTGAGCACAGTTTTGCTCAAGGATGAACGCTTGAGCCACACCACAACGGAGCGGATTTTGGCACACCAGCTGGAAACTGCAGGAATGTCATACACCTTTTGTGCTGCTAGGTTTAGGGTATGGGCAATTTCTTTGGTCAATTTAGACCTCTTGGCCAGCGTGAAGGGAGTCTCTGCCAAAAAGAACGCAGCATGTAGCTACGGCCGTGTTTGCTAGCTCACCCTACATGCATTCATTTAATAATGTGTGCTCAACGTATAATACACATAAACTACTTTAAGCTACTTACCCAAAGAAGAGCGGCTGCTGCTGCCGCCATCCTCTTTCAACTTTTCTGCTACAGCGGGAGGGGCTCGGCTGGGGCCAGGACGATTCTCCTCCTCTCCAGGTTCTTCTGGGGGAACGTTGCTAAAGCTAACTCCAATGCCGACAGTAGATGTGTTCGGTGGGAGGTTTCGCTGTTGCAAGCTATCAAACACGGTACATGTCTCGGCTTTTAAAAAAATGCTATGCGTCACCAGGTGTTTCATTAAATTAGAGGTGTTACCTCCTTTACTGAGTATCACCTTGAAGCACCTGTTGCAGGTTGCTGAGTCTGCATCTTTTGCTGTGAAGTACAGCCACGCTTTCGACCGCTTCGCCTTCGGCATTTTGATAAATAATGTAGGTCCGCTCTAATTAAATACGCACTTGGCTGGGCCCGCCTACTATCACCGGAAAAGTAAAATGAGTGGCTACTCGAGTCCAAGATGATTGACATCTCCGAAATGAAGCACCGAAATCTGCGTTGCTTTTCGGTCTGGTTACTACCGTTTATGTCAGAACCGGTGCTATTAAAGTACCGAGTACCGGTACCCATCCCTACCGCCCTGCCTCTGTTCATTGTTTGCCATTCCAGTCCACACCCCGTTCCCAGGTGTGGGTAATTGGGGAGGATTAACACAGATGGGATGAAATGTTGCAACAATCACTAAAAACACCCAAACAGTTAAAAATCAACCTAAAAGCACCTAATCAATTAGAAAACATGCAATATAAAACATAACATAAGAACATTAAACATAAGAACAACATTACCACTCTGTGACATATCGCCACATTAGCATGTAAATGCTGAACCAATCTGGAATAAAGAGGGATGCTGACCAGTAGCGGTAGTTCACCACACTTTGCTTCCACATTCTCACATCCTGGGTCTTCTTTCTCTTCCCCAGCTCTTCGATTTTCTTACCAATTCATGGAGAGCCAAATAGACCCGCTGTTTCAGACCTCTCTGGTAAAGGTCGTCCCTTGTCACATTAATGTTAAAGGTTTTAGTGTTGTCAACTCTTTCTTGTAGGAACTTCAGGATGTCTGATAAGCTATTGACAACAACATTGTGTTTATTATTATTTATTTTAAAACCTAAACATTAACACAAAAATTCAAACCAGCTTAAGTGCTTGGAGGAGTCATCCACATCCAGTATGATGCTGTTCAGATGTGGAAACAAAAAAAATTAAGCTCTCATAACATATTGTGTACAACGTGCATGGGTAAAAACATGTACCTGTCCTCTTCCTCTTCACCACAAAAGCTGGCATGCAATTGTATAGACTCCTGAGTAAATTCTTTATCACACAATGGACAGGAAACCTATTAAAGACATTTTTTTAAATCAGTGACCAACAATCAGCATTAAGTAAACAATAACGATTAACATGAAATGTAATTAAAATATTCTGTATATTGCTTACGTGCATGTTTTAAGTTTGATTTAAAGGGATATTCCACCCTAAGTGGCTGTTGTGGCAGGCCACACAATCGAGGCTGCAATTTACAGACAGACTGGACAAATGTTCTATAACCACAGACGTAGCCGAGGAAACAAGTTTGTCATGAAACAATGGACAGAGACCGGTACACAACTACCAGCAGGTGTCAGGATGACAATAACTCGAGATCAAACTCAGGTTTTGGATAAAATACTAAATGGATGGAGGAAATTTGGGATGGGATTAGCTGTGTTTGGAGCATGGAAAAAGAGGAGGGACCCACCCCCAGACCTCCTGTTAAGGCTGGTTGGGAAAGTCTTGACCTCAGGGATCAAGGAAACAATTAATTTTATCACTCGAGGAGCAATGAGAGCTGCTTCCTTGAGGATCTCCATGGCAATATGGCATGGGTTTATGGCAATATGCTAAAAAAAACAGTATTGGTGGTGAGAGGAACTTCATTTCATTTGCTGTTGCAAAACTCATTACCTCTCTGAGATGTCTTCCCAGATGCAACAGGAAACCCTACCTCCTGCCTTGAGAGGAAGGGGAGGAGTGTTCAAACTGAAAACTGCTACAGAGACCAGCGAGAAGGTGGACCTTCTCTCCCAAGGGGGGAGGAACCCTTGAAGTGAAGGAATGGAGACAAGAGTGGGCATACTCAAGAGAATCACCAGATCAGAACTCATTCAACACTTTGATTGTGTGTCACATCAAATAATGCCTGGGGAACATAGGCTTCCCTTTGTAATGATTTAAATTACATGTTATTTAAAAAGCCATAAGGCGTAGGATTCCATAGGAAATATGAAATCAACCTTATGGGTCTGTGAGGTTATTTTAAACCAGAAGATTGGAACTTTTTAATGCAGTGATTGGATAACAGCTTCGTATTCACTCAGAGACAACAGAAGAGAGAGAGTCAAGTTTAAAAGTTTAAAAATTTATTACTAAACAAATTAAACTAGACTAAATTTAAACACTAAATGTATGAGGTGTAATGTTGCTCAGAACCAGCAAATCCGAAAGTGATTAGTTCTGATGGGAACTGAAGGTGATGTCTTCACATTAAGCTTTAGTTAGGAGATTCATTAACACATTCGACACCATTTGCTGGTCTACATACCCTGAGCGGAAGTCCCCGTCTAGATCAGGAGGTGTAAAGGTCCAGCTTGACCTTTATGGAGCCGGAGCTCGTAGAGCATCCACGGCAGCCGACCAACCGTCTTAAGATACTCCCGGGTCACGAAAATTTTGTTGGCGTCTGGTGAGATCCAAACCTGGGTCTTGATAGTTCAGCTTTTATCCTGAAAGGAACCGTTGCAGCAGTTGGAATGGCAACAGATCTTATCCAGCTTGTCGTTGGTTCTTTCAGTTGAAGAGGAAAGTTATGGACTGACCACTCCAACACTTCTCTAGAACGCTTTGAACTGGTGTTAGAGATGACGTGGGCCTAGTTTTATACTTCGGATGTTTTGGTTTATGGTCGAATGAAAAGTTGACAGATTTTACCAAACACCATCAAAACCACGCCTCCGTCAGATCTGGCAGATTCTGATTGGATCAATTCAATTCAATTCAAGTTTATTTATATAGCGCCAAATCACGACAAGAGTCGTCTCAAGGCACTTCACATAATAAACATTCCAATTCACAGTTCATTAAGCCAATCAGAAATAATGTGTCCTATATAAGGAACCAGCAAATTGCATCAAGTCACTGACTAGTGTCAGTGACTACACAGCAATCCTCATACTAAGCAAGCATGCAGCGACAGTGGAGAGGAAAACTCCCTTTTAACAGGAAGAAACCTCCAGAGAATCCTGGCTCAGTGTAAGCAGCCATCCTCCACGACTCACTGGGGATCGAGAAGACAGAGCACACACACACACACACACACACACACACACACACACACACACACACAATAATGTGTCTATAGTTCTATTGTGATGTCTTAGTAAATATTCTATTTGGTGAGATAAACTTTATTGTATTTATCCTAGTGGATCTCTAATTAAATGGGTAAACTAGCAGTAACACGTCCAATGTCAAGGAAAGCAAAAAGCTACTATCAGGAGAGGGAGAATGTTTAAGTGGTTAGCAGCAGTGTGCTAGTCGATGGCCCTCTCCATGGGGCCACCACAGCTCAGCAGAACATCGTTGTTGCTTCTTCTGGGGAGAAAAACACTTAGAGAGAAAATAAAGTTAACAGCTGAAATAGCAGGAAATAGTACAGTTAAAGAGCAGATTGTAGAAGAAAGCAGTAGAGCACATATGTCAGAGTCAAGGTCCGCGGGCCAGATGTGGCCCGCGGAGCATTTTTATGTGGCCCGCGAGATAAATTTCAAAAATATATTAAAACTGGCCCGCT